AAGCAAAACTGAACATCATACACATGAGGCAGGAGTCTATCAAAATAAAACAGGAAACAACACACTCTGAGACCTAGATTGAGACATTTGAACTTGACACAGGGACTAGACAAAAGGACAGAGAAACCAGACAGAACACAGAAAGCCCAGGCAAATACAGGATTATGACCAAGGAGACAATGTATAACAAAAAACAGAGACTAGATAGACAATAACAAGATATGATGATGACAAGACAAGGTCAGGAAATGACAGTACATGAAAGGGAACTAACGTAATAAAACAAGAACCAGGAACTTGAAATAACAAACTCCAATGCTTTAGAGAATACAAAAGTAACACAAAAAACAAATAAAGAAATAAAACTTGAGAATCTATTGAATCCAAAATAATGAATCACAAAATCATAACAAACTCAGCAGCTTTGGTATATATTTTATATTACCATATAATTTAAACTTATTTATGAATACTTTGTGTTTTTAGTTGTTTTTGTGAATAACATTTCGATTAATAACATATTTTTAGCTTAACTGCTTTCCCACTCATATTGTAGGTCTATGGTTTACATTCTGATCACAACACATAAGGTGTTTCCACAAGTAGTTTTACACTTCCTTGCAATGTCATGGAATTATTCCATGACATGAAAAAATACAAGAAGTGGAGAGTTGACTTTTAGAGTAAGAAGTAGAGTTAAACAAGACTGCAAAACAGGATGTTGATAGACAGGGAAAAACAGTTTTCATTCTGATTTCTGTTGCTCAATGCTCGATTTTCTTCTTTTGGCTGGTCCCTTTAGGGGTTGCCGCAGTGAATTATCCACCTCCACCTCCTCTGCACGTGTTAAAACCATCTCAGCCTCACCTCCTTAACTTTATCTCCAAATCAGTAAACCTGAGCCAACCTAACAACTTCTTCCTTTGAAAACTTTTCTGTACTTCCACACCAGAGGATTCATTAAACACCTTGTTCTTTCTCTGCCCAATTCAGTTGTACTTTCCCAGAGATCTGGTAAGTCTTTCCTTTATGCTTTATAACATTTAAAGACTTTTTATAGGTGGTGACTTTATAGAGGTAATAATTATTCTGCAATGATGTAAACGGACCAAGCTTCAGTCAGGAGAACAACTGAGATAAGCTATCCACAATATGAGGTTAGTAATTAAAATACTGCTGCAAGGGCTGGGCTGTAGTTGCATCGGAAGGTTTTAAAAACTGAGCTTTAAAATGAATAGTGATGATAAAAACCGAGAGAGGCTGACAGTGGTCACTGACTTTTTTTAGGGGCTTGTTCAGATTAAATAGAACAAGATACAAAGCAATAAAACATGTTAAAAACACAACAGCCTTAATAAATGCAGAGTAGTTTTGACCCGGAAGCAGGGTTCATACGTCATCACTTAAAGACTGGATATGCCACCTGCTGTGAATGTTTTAATGAAGTACAGTTGTTATTACTATCACTTGTCACATCCTGTTTATGACAGTTAGAATAAATAACATTTACATAAGAAATAAAATTGTCTCGTGTGAACTGTATGTGGTGTACTTTAATGTCGGTCATAAGAGTACTTCAAGAGCCATATATGTCATGAGGTGATACTCATTGTGAAAAATTTGAGAACCACTGCCTTAGAGAGTTAAGAAAGAAACTGGAGGAAAATGGAAAAATAAGATAGTGATACTAAGGCCATGCTGAAGACAATGCAACAGTGCTGTCTCTCATTTTTTCTTTCTCTTTCATTTGTCTGCAAACTTTTGCAAACTTCCGGTGGATCTGCCTTGTTATGAATGGTGAAAGAATACCCGCAAATTAGTCTCAGTTATAATAACCTGCCAGAGTTTGATGAGGCATTCATCTGCAGAAGATTCTTCAACAACCAACAAGAGAGCTTTACTAAAGGTATGCCGTCTTTGTTACTTTGCTGTTGTACGATTGTAAAATCATCACGTATTTACTTTTTAATAGATAAACCTCTGACACTTAAGACTTTCCCAGTTTTTAATTACTAAGTCACTCATGATTAATACATTTTCGAGATTCCGCCCCCAAAAATTCAGTTCCCTGAATATCTATATGCATGAATGGATGGAATATATATTTATACATATATATTAAAAAAAATTAAAAAGAAGGAAATTCATTTTTTTACACTATTGCATAACGTAGAAACACTGACTGCTGGGATATTTATTCACTGGAAGTGTAGTGTTAAATAACCAAATAGGCTAATTTCTTAAAATTAAGTTAAACCACTGAACTTAAGAGACAGCATTACTTTCATGAGGGTAGTGACTTTTAAAGTAATTGCCGGTAAGGTTCTTTGCATAGTTATAACTTCTTTGACCTCTTTATTCATCAAAATGTGTTGAAGTTTGCAGAAGTTTGTTATCATCTGTCAGACCTAGAGGTTAAGTAAAGGTCTTTTTCACTGAAGAAAAACAAGCTGTAATTTAATTTTTTTTTTCCAATTCCACTGACATAGTGTTGCTCAGCCACTGCACAGTCAGTATTAAAGTCCACATTCTCACCCAACCCCACACAGCCATCATGACCATTATGATGGATGTTATTGCCCAACTTTTAGTACATCAAATGGACGATTAGGTAAACCTGTGATTGGATTGTCAAAAACCCTTTAATAGTTATTTTATTTAGTAAACTGAGAAACTACTTATCATGGGTCAGTCAACAAGTGGCCAACAAAGCTGAAAAATATCACCTATAATTTAAATGATCTTTTTTTAATTGAGCATATTAAGATTAATTTTGAAAAGCAAATACACATTGTTTAGTCTAGGTTGTATTAATGTGTCACAGCTTGTTCTGATATTCTTCTACTGCACATCCACCCACACCTGACAGAAGAGCCATATTTTCTTCTTCTTCTTAAGTGTCTTATTGGATGGCATTGGCGATTAGACTAGATGCCCTCTCTCTCACACAGTCCAGCAACTCATTTGGTGTTTTCTTCCTTCGGTCTTGTATTCTGCCAGTGACGGTTTCTCGCCTTCTGCCTTGTCTTTGGTCCCTTTAATCTTTTCCAGATTTAATTCCAATTGTCTTTTTCTCAGTACTTGTCCAGAGAGTCTTGCTTGTCTCTCTCTGATGTTTTATTTAATGATCTTTTGGTGTGTGCGCGTTTTAAAACCT